CCATTTTAGATTTTAGGTGAAGGCAATTTTGACTGATGTTTCCTAGCTAATAAGAAGCAGTGCTGGGATTCAGACCCAGGCAGCCTGTCTCGGAGCCTGCACACTCAGCCCCTCTGCTCTCCTGCCTGTATAGAGACCTTGCGGCCTGTAAAGCCTGAATGATTTACTCTCTGGCCTTTTATAGGAAAAGTTTGCTAACCCCTATTCCATCACGTCTCCCCTGGTTTTCTTCCAAACCGTGGAGCTGAGGGAACATTTAAGAGCCAGTTCTCAGGTAAGGCTGTAAAAGCTCTGGTTAAAAATCACTTGAAGTTAAAAATCACTGGAGAAGCTCCTAGCGCTTCCCTGCTACCTGGCTCAAGAAATAGTGTCTGACATTTCTTAATTAAACCAAGAAAAGCTGTCATAATAAATGTAATGCTCGTAAATGGCGTAATCTGAGGACTGTGCTGAGGAGCTTACAAACATAATCTAATTTAATTTTCATGACCAGCCTTGTGAAGTGGGTGTTGTTTTTTAGCTTCATCTTAGATATGGGAAGGTTGAAGCACAGAGAGGATATTAGGTTGCCCATAGTCACACAGCTAAGTAATAGCCTCAGGGCCCATGTCCCTGATCATCATACTGGACTGCCTCCAGAGGGCGCTGGTGTTTCAGAACTAGCACCAAATGAAAAGACAGATGTTGGTGAGCAAATACAATGTGTGGGGCTGAGTGAGCTTTCCGAAGGTTAGCTTTGCAGTTTTGGAGTGCAGAATCACCTTAGAAAGCCAAGAAAGCCTGGAGAAAAACACTCAACAAACCATGACTCTGCAGAACAATCTCGTGACTTCCAGAGAACACTTTCTGAATGATGAATTGCAATCCTGATGCAGTGGGGGCTCTTTGACTGTGCTGGTCACATTCTATGCTAGCAGGGGCCTGCGAAGCAGGTGCACACAGGAGTAAACAAGATCAGGTTGACTTCTCTTGCATGTTGTGCTAATGTCAGTGTCCTCTCTTAATGAGCCTTTGAAAAATTTGAAAAATAGAGCCATGCTAGAGGCTTATAAAGAACATGTCCATGGACCAAGACTTTTTCTCTCCATCCCTCTACTGAGTGTTGACCTTGCAGTGTGTTAGGGTGGGTCTGAGGTCTACCTCTGTTAGTGGGGATGACCCAGGTGGGACCAGCATGGGCAAGGGGAGCTTGTTGACCCTGTACGTGATTTTCAAGCCCTGTGGATCCTTCATCTTTGGGGAGGGAAAGCATGCAGCACGGTGTTATGAAAGTGTGAAGAGCACCAGGTGTGTGTGTAGCGGGGAGAGGGGGTATGCATGTGATGATGGTGGTACAGCACAGGAAGAACTTCAGGGGTGACAACAAATGGATGAAGTCAAGCAAGGAAAACACTTGGATTCACCAAATAGCAGAAGCAGACCAGGAAGGGGGTCTTAAGGACCTGAAGCCAGGGGCAACAGGTGACCCTGTGGTTGAAGGGAGCAGCAGTACCAGTCCTGTGGTTAGAGGGTCCAATGGCAACACCCCATATAGGCTGTCAGGACCCCTGCTTGTGAAGGGCCATTTCAGAGCCTTTCGTCACCTGAGAATCCCAAAGCCATTCTGTTTTTTGCTTAACAGTTGTACAGCTCACTTTGAACAAGCAGTCATGCAAGATAATGGTTTCATCATTTTCTTGTCCCATAATTTGCCTCCTTGGTCCAAACCCATATAACTTGGAGTTATTAAAGTAGGGGATGTCATGCTAGAATTGATCCATTCTGCAGATAATATACTTGTCTTTCAGAGTTTCTTTGGCCTAGAATTCTATTAAAATTCAAGCATGATGGATGACTTGGAAAACATTATGGCCCTCAAGGAAATTTTCTGTCTGGTGGGCAGACAGAGACATACAGTCGGCTGTAGAACAAGGTAGACTTTAGAGAGAGCTATAATCAAAGTACAGGGAGTAACAAGAATAGAGGGAGCAAGATGAATTCTAACTCCAGGGATTTGAGAATGTTATTTTCTTACCTGTTTCCTTTCTTCATTCTCTTCTACCAACTGCCTACAGGCGGATGCTCTGAAGTTCTACGTTTTCTTTCTTATGTGTTGACTGTGGTGGAAATCCTGACTGTTCTCCTGGATTTCCTTTTGGTGTCTTTGCCTTTTTAAAAAAATTGTGGTAAATAACGTATAACATGAGATCTGCCCTGTTAACACATTTTTAAGTTTATGGTACAGTATTGTTAACTATAAGCACAATGTTGTACAGCAGATCTCTAGAACTTTTTCATCTTGTGTGACTGAAACTTACACCCATTGAACAGCAACTCCGTGTTTCCTCTTCCCCTCAGCCTCTGGCAACTCTCATTCTACTTTCTGTGAGTTTGGCTACTTGAGATACCTCGTATAAGTGTAATCATGCAGTATTGTGCTTCTGCAACTGGCTTATTTTGCTTAAACTAATGTCCTCAGGGTTCTTCCATGTTGCAGCATATAACAAGATTTCCTTCTTTTTCTTGGCTGAATAATATTCTGTTGTATGTACTACATTTTATAGTTCATTCATTCTTCAGTGGACATTTAGGTTGTTTCTGCCTCTTGGCTATTGTAAATAATGCTGCAGTGAACCTGAGTGTGCAAATATCCCTTTAAGACCCTGATTTCAATTCTTTTGGAATACCCAGAAGTGGGATTGCTGGCTCCTATGGTAGTTCTATTTTTAATTTTTTGAGGAACCTCCACACTGTTTTCCATAGCAGCTGCACCTTTTTATATTCCTAGTAACAATGCACACCGGTTCTGATTTCTCCACATCCTCACCAGCATTTATTATTTTCTGTTTTTTCTTTTTTATAATGAACATCCTAATAGGTATGAAGTTGATTTGCATTTCCCTGATGATTAGTGTTGTTGAATGTTTTTTTATATACCTCGTGGCCATTTTTATGTCTTCTTTAGAGAAATGTCTATTCAAGTCCTTCGTCTACTTTTTAATCAGGTTGTTTGGTTTTTTGTTACTGAGTTGTAGGGGTTACCTTGCCTTTAATTCCCAGATCTCCATGCCACTACCTGACAAACTCTGCACCATGTCTTCTGCTACTCCTCAGCCTGGTCCTTCTGCCCTATTCCCTTCTCATCACCCTGCTCCTGCCACCCTTCCCTTGGTTTCTGAAACATACTCAGACCCAACTCTGACATATCCTGAAAAATCTAGGTCAAGTCAAAGTTCCCCATGGATCCTTCCCTGACCACCCAGCCAGAGTGGCTGTCCCTCTGCTGAAGTCTCCGGCACTTCCTGTCTCTATTGCTTTGGGGCAATTGGCAGAGACCGCTGCCTTGCATTGGAGTGGATGTTACACGTGTGCGTATTTTATGTTAACTAAACTCTTGTCTTCTGAAGGGCAGGGGCTGTGTATCTCCCAGAGGACTTGACCACCTTGCCGCACTGTAAAGGGGCAGGAAGCCTAGAAAAAGGTGTGTGTGTGTGTGTGTGTGTGTGTGTGTGTGTGTGTGTGAGTTCTGGGTACAGAAGACAGAGCTGAACTTGAAGCCTGGGTGTGCTCTGGCAATAGAAGGAGGACATGGAGGGAGCAAAGTCTACATGCACAAGCCACTCTTACTCCCAAGAGAGAAAGGTTGCCAGGACAGGGACAAAGAGGAAAGGTGAAGCTCAGTAGCAGGGCCTTTTAGCCAGTTGGGATTGGCATAGACAAGCAGGTCTACGCGAGAGGGTCGTGACTGTAATCTGAGACGTGCTCTGCTGGATTTTGGCAGGCAGGGGTTGACAAGTGTGCTGGGAGCCAGAGAGGTGAGTTCACCTCACAATTCTGCAGGTAGTCAGAACAGCTGCTGATAGCGGGGCCCAGCCTAGCTGGCGGTCTGAACATCTCTACTCCGAACACCCTGTTCTGGAGAATTTATGGCTTCTAACCCTGGTATGTGCTTGCCAGCAGTGCTGTATGAGTGGTTAGTCAATGGCTAAACTGTAGGTCACCCAGAAGCCCCTAGGACAGCCTTCAGGAGGCCAAAGCCCAGGGCAGGAAGGCCACAGGACAGACCACAGGATTGGACGTGTAATGTGGCTCTTGAGTAGTGCTGGTCCATCATGCTCCCTGCCAGGGGCTGGCGGAGCATTCCCTAGGCCTCACAAAATCCATGGAGATCCTCCACCTTGTGACCTTCCTTGCCTTCTTCATAGGAGTCCCCCCCCACCTTTCACTGTGGTCAGGTTTTTATAGCTTCCAAGACTCTGCCTTCCACCCTGAGCCCCAGCAACCTGCTCTGTCCTGATGATGCCATGGCCGGTTCTGGTCTTTGTGTTCCCTTGGAGCCTTCCAGCCAGAGCACCAATTATGGGGCCCCATCTTGTACCTCTGAAAAGTCCCTGAGTAGGTCAAAGGTCACTCTCACATGAATCCAGGAAAACCTGACAACCTGGCCTTGCCTCTCCAGTGGGAGAGGAAATGAAGAGGGTAGCTTGGTTCTCTTGACAGCTAACTCTCTTCCTACTCGCTGACTTTGAGGACAGCTTCATTCTTTCTGGCTTCTTTCTGACCCTTTCCTACTCTTCCTGTTGCCCTTATCCTGGACACTGGCCTCCCAACCTGGCAGGGGTGGAGAATCACCTGGATGCTTAGAGAAAGAAAGGAAGGAAGGAAGGGAGGAAGGGAGGGAAGAAGGGAAGAAGGGAAGAAAGAAAGAAGTTCTTAGGCCCTGTCCCTGGAGATTCTCTTTAACTAGGTGTGGATGGGGCCTGGGAATCTGGCATTTTTGTACCTAGATATGTAAAAGAACTGGAAGGATGGATGATGGACTTACTGGGTTGCTGAGTCATTTTTATTTCCTTCTTTGTCGGACTCTGTGCTTTTTGGATTTTCTAGAGTGATCATGCATTTCTTTAGAAATCAGAGGAAGAATAGGTGTCATTAAAAAATAAAAACCAGATCCCAGATCCCAGAGTGATCAGTCTTTCAGAAACCATTAACCCTCGTAAATTTGTTCTTCTTTTCTGCAGGGGGACTTGATCTCATCTTCATGCCAGGTCTTGGGTTTGACAAGCATGGCAACCGGTTGGGGAGGGGCAAGGGCTACTATGACACCTACCTGAAGCGCTGTCTGCAGCACGGGGCAGTGAAGCCTTACACCCTGGCCTTGGCTTTCAAAGAACAGATTTGCCTCCAGGTCCCTGTGGACGAAAATGACATGAAGGTGGATGAAGTCCTTTACGAAGACTCCTCAGCATCTTAAGTCCTGATGACTACAGCCAAATAATCAGTGTTTTGTACCAGAGAAAAGCAGAATACGTGTATTTTCCCTTGTCAAAAATTACTTGAAATGGCACACTAATGTGAATCCGGACTGTGTTGTTTTTAATGTAATTATAAAATACCTAACATAAAACCATCTTTAAAAATCAATAGAATAGTAGAATGTTAATTAAAATGGAGGCCATTGCCATATGGTTTTCAGGTTAACTTCCTGGTATTAACGTGACAAGCTGATCTTTCTGCTTTGAAATTTAAGTTAAATATTTATGAAGAACTGGGCTCCAACTCAGAGTGTGAAAGGAAGGTAAGCTCATTGGGAGCGGACACTATTTCATTAAGTCCTATCATAAGCCTGCTCAGTCTCTGGCAGGCATATGGCGACTCTGCAATTATTAATTGATTTGTTGGTGTTTGCTTTGCATACACAGTTCCCCAAGAATGTTATACCACTTCATCACGACTTTATTTACTGACCCTGAAATTTTATGTCTGATACTTTATAGCTTTTGGTGGTTAATGGACTGGAATTTTTTATGATTTAAATTTCACCTGTTTGGTTTCCATCTCTGCTGATCTGTATGTCAGTTACTTATGAGTTTGAGATCTGATATCCTGTAAGTTAGAAATTGTTTCTGTTTATTTGTGTTTTCTGCTTTAGAAATGAAATCTGCTGTGGGCTGAAAGTTGGCAGATGGCATCACAGCTAGGGAGTGGTAATGTTGTGGGGGAAGATTTGGTTATAACCAAAAACCCAGAAGTCTTCCTAGACACTGCTCTCTCACTCACACCCCATGTCCAGCCTGTCACCAGGTCCTGTTGATTTTGCCTCTGAAATGCCTCTTACATCTGTCCTCTCCTCTCCATCATCCTGTTGTTCCTATTGTCTAGCTGCTCAGAATTTCTAAGCTGAACTTGGCAAGAGCCTCATCCCTGGCTTCTCTGGCTTCAGTCTGGACCTCTCCAATTTGTTTCTCAAACTATAGTCAAAGTGATCTTATAAAACATGAATCTGATTGTAAAGCACCACTGATTGGAATCTTTCAGTGGCTGTTCAGAGCCTCCTGGGTAATGGCCACATGCCTTCTCTTGTGTACAAAGCCCCTTAAACGAGGTCTCCCACCTGTCTTTTTCTAGCCTCTTCTCTCCCCACTCTCATATTCTCCTTCTGCACCACTTGTACAAATGTACACGTAGTTCCCTGAACGTTGCAGGCTGCTTCTGCCCTTTGCACCTTGTAAGCGTGCTTTTTCCTCTGTCTGCAATGCCCTTTCCTCTTTTGTTCATCTGGAAAACTCCTGTTTATCTTTCAAGACTCAGCTCCAGTGTCATCTCTTCTGTAAAGTCTTCCTCTGTGTTCTCGAGCAGACTTAGTGTTCCTTCACTTGTTTAAATAGCCCTGGCCATTGTCCTCTTTATCATATGGTCCTACATATCAATTATTGATTGTCATGTCCGTCCCCTTCACCAGACTGTGAGCTCCAAAGAGCAGGGATAGTCTTTATATTTCTCATGCTTAGTAGACACCAAGGCATATAGTGGGTGTCTGAAAATTTTTTTGAATGAGTTAATTGAATACATTTGGAAGTGTTTCTTTTGAAGCATGGATCCAGATTCTTTGGATAATAGCATATGATTTGATGTTTTGTGCACAACAAAAGTAAAAACACTTTAAAAATGTCAATTGAGCTGAAATTGAACGTTCACAATATAATATGAACAGTGAGAAATGGGAGGGAAACAGGATGTCTGCAAGCTATAAAATCATGTGACTGTGCTGGTTAGAAACCTTGTTAAGGGTTACTTCAACCATAAGGTTAAGGTGAATGTTAATACAGCTGACACGACTGTTGAGGGCTGAAATGGTTAAACAGTAAAATCCCCCAGCTGCTACAGGCCTGGAAACTTAAGCACCATTAAACTCAATCTGTTATTTTACCCAAGGAGAGCATTTAAAAAACACTCCCCCGCTCCTCAAGTACAGACAGAATACAGAGTCGACTTGCCAGAAGACCAAAGGTGCTGAGATTCAGGAAAGTCAGAGGGCTGCAGGGTCTCTCACGTGGAAAGAGGGCCATTTCCTAATGAGCAGTAATGAGCAGTGGTCATTGTGCAGACTGTATTGAAAAGGGAGAGAAAGCCCCGATGATGCAGGTGATAGCGACACTGTAACTCTGATTAGCACATTAGCAGAGGCAGGGGGCAGGGCCTCGAGCCAGCATGATGAGGGTCTCAGGTGAGGGGATTATCCAGGTAGGAGAGAAATGGCGACTAGATCTGAACAGAAACAATTTTAGTGTTGGGGAATTGGAAATATATCGGAGCCCCAACATATGTCAGTGATTGCTGCCTATTCTAAAGAACTGTGCTTAATTTAACTAGAAAGTAACCTCTGTGAAGTTCTAGTCGATCTAACAGATATCAGTGAGAACAGTGCACATTCAATCATAAAGTCCTACTAAGAAAATATGTCTGAGCATGGGTGGCTTGATGCAGAAGCTCAGTTCCTGGTCCCTGTTCTTTTTTTCTTTTGGAGATCGTTGAAATTCAGTGAATCACATTGCATTTTAATCATATGTTTACATGCTTATTGCCTCCACTTGCCTGTGAACTCCTCAAAGGCAAATTCTCTGCCAAATTTGTGGTTTACTCCAGGACCTACCAGAGGCTCGAGCACAAAGTAAATAGCCAGTAAATTCTTGATGAGGGAATGAACCAGTGTGCTTGTTGCCCTGTGTTTTGCACTTGCTGGTTTTTACGTTGGTTGCTATTTGCTGCTGAGATTCTATCCTTTCAGCATTGTCTCAGGGTTGGATTGTTCTAGAACAGGTGTTCTGTTACTGCAGTTGCATTGCCTTCCTCTGCCAGTCCATATATGTGTGTGTCGCATTATCGTTGCTACCTGGCCTCGTTACTGCTTTCCTTCTTTGCATCTTTGTGATCATCTCCTCTCCTATGCACAGGCGGTCGCAGCTCCCCTGCCCTTTAAGGGCAGTTGCTAATCCCTGTGAGCACCCGCCCCAAATAAATGTTTGTTTATATGCTTAAAAATAAATAAATTTCTTTCCAAATAATAATGTCTTATACACATTAGAAAACATACACAAAAAGGAAAAGGATGAGGTAATTGAAACAGAGTATATTTTCTTTCCTTTTTTTTTTTTTGAGTTAAACCAACGGTTTTATTGAAAGGTGAGAACAGAGCCCCGCTCCCTCCACCATCCTGGCAGCGTTGGCCTCAGGCGCCAGGCATTCAGGCGTCCTGCAGCCCCAGAGAGCTAGAATATATTTTCTATAATTTATAATCTACTTGATTTTTAAAAGAGAAAGCAGTGTCATGGAAATTTTTGTGAAATTTATTGTTTTTGAAAACCCTTACTTTAACCCCTTTTGAATGATTCAAAGTCTGGTTCTAATTTCAGTTTATTTCAGTATTTGCTTTTAACCGCTTATAGCTACAGCTGAAATAGGTATCTTCTAGAGATAAGGAGATCCACATGGAAGCAGTACTACATTTACTAGACTTTTCAGTTCTATCTACCAATTCTGCAAAGTTTTTTTAATTGAGATTGGGCTAGTACATATCTGTTTTCTTGATGTGGATCAGTCATTCTTGCATGTTAATCAGAAGGTGCCATACAGTTACTTTGTTAACAAATGGGTTCACAACTTATTGAAACCCCTTGAAATATTTTAAACCAAGTTAGAAAAATTGTGCTTTCAAGTATTTTAGTTGTGCAGATATGAAAGTGTTTATAGGTGTCGTGAATAGTTTTTGGCAACATAATCATATAATGATGAAAACATTTCCAAATAACCATTTTCAGTCTGCTCTTTGCACAAGTCTCTTTCTGAAAGAAGTTCCTTTCTGTCTTTTTGAGGAAACATGCCTTACCCTGAAGATTCCAATTAAATGTATTTATTTTTTGGAGATATTTGCCTAGGTAGCAATTTACTGGTGGCCATTTATAATCTCAGAAATGTCAGAAAATTTGGGACACTCACCTTTGTGTAAAAAATATGTGCAAAACTCATCTTTAAACTTAATGGCTCTTTTAAAAGTATCTTATCTTGGGGGCTGGCCCCGTAGTGGTTGGGTTCAGCGTGCTCCACTTCGGCGGCCCGGGTTTGTGGGTTCGGATCCTGGGCGCAGACTGACACCACTCATCAGCCGTGCTGTGGCAGTGACCCACATACCACAATAGAGTAAGATTGGCACAGGTGTTAGCTCGGGACTAATCTTCCTCAAGCAAAAAATAGAGGAAGATTGGCAACATGTGTTAGCTCAGGGCAAATCTTCCTCAGCAAAAAAAACCCCAAAAATTTATCTTGAGATAATCAGAGAAATTTAGGTGAATCAAAATGTTTCTCATGGGTACTTCCTATCATATTGCAAAGTACTGTAAGTATTCTACTGTATCTTAAAGGTTTTAATTTTATAAAGTTCACTGCTACCCTCAGCATGTGGTGCGTTTCTTGTCCATAAATTATGTAGTGATATTATTGCTGAGTCTCTTAACAAGGAATCCACCATCCTCCCCCTTTTAAAAAAATTCCAGTCAAAGTAGCCATTCCATCAGGGGTTAGACTTAAATAGTTTTCCCATAAAACATAGTGGTTTTTTTCAGTCAATTAATTTTGAGGTATATATCCCCTCCCCTACTTTAAAGATTTTATTTATTTTATTTTTTCCCCCCAAAGCCCCAGTGGATAGTTGTGTGTCGTAGCTGCACATCCTTCTAGTTGCTGTATGTGGGACTCGGCCTCAGGATGAACGGAGAAGTGGTGCCTCGATGCGCACCCGGGATCCGAACCCGGGCCACCAGCATCGCAGCGCGCGCACTTAACCACCAAGCCACAGGGCCGGCCCATCCCTTCCCCTACTTTAATATCTTTCTTCTTGTAGTGATACTGCAAACTGGAACGTGTTGGAAACATCTGTCCTTTCATCCAACCTCCCACCCTGAGAAATTTATTCCTGTACTTATTTCTCGAGATTTTCAGCAGTGTTTTCTAAATGTTGTCCGGTAGGACTTCCTGACCAAAAAGACGCATCATGTTTTTTTTTCCCCCTAAATTGTTTCACAAGTATATGATCCATATTTCCACGGCAGAAAGAACAAATGTTTTCTGAATGGTGTGCTACTTT